GACATGGAAGACCTATTGAAACAACTCCCCCGGCCTTATATAATCCTTGGGGATTTCAATGCCCATAACACCATGTGGGGATCCAACAATACCAACACAAGAGGTCGTATGCTGGAGGATATCTTCCTCCAACATGATTTATACATACTTAATGATGCATCACCGACCTACTTGCACCCAGGAACTGGATCACTCACATGCATTGACCTCACCGTATGCGCCCCCGGACTTCTGGACCACTTTAAATGGTCAGTTAGCAATGATCTACGGGGAAGTGATCACTTCCCAATCATCATTACTAACAATCTCCCCTCATTGGGACGACCTCAGCGGTGGAAACAGAATAAGGCCGATTGGGAACAATTCCAAAAAAGATGGTCCGAGGATATCACAGAAAATATCCTCGATGAACAGAACCCAGCTGATACCTTTGCTAGCAAGCTACTTGGTATAGCCAGAAAAGTTGTCACCCTAACCTCTGCAAATCCAAAATGGCCTAGCAAACCATGGTTTGATACAGCTTGCAAAAGTGCTATTGGTGATAGGAAAAAATGACTGGCTGCATTCATAAAAAATCCTTCCAAGGAAAACCTAAAGCTATTCAGGATAGCTAGAGTAAAGGCTAGACAAACCATACGGTCAGCCAAAAGGAATTCCTGGAGAAGTTTTGTCGGCAGTCTGGATGCCAAAACTTCTGCTAGGGCGGTTTGGAAGGCAGTAAGGCGAATCAAAGGGAAAGAATCAATGCAATAGGGCATTTGAAAAACCAAGGACAAACGGTCACGTCCCCCAGAGAAATAGCTGACTGCCTTGCATCCTCAATAGCAGAAAAGTCATCCACTGCAAACTACACGCCAGAGTTCCAAAAAGTCAAAACCAGGGAGGAAAGACACCCCATTGATTTCAGGTCAGAGAACAATGAAGACTACAACAAACCGTTCTCGCTTGAGGAACTGAAGGAATCGCTGGACAAGTCACATGACACAGCGCCTGGAGAAGATGAAATCCATTACCAGTTCCTCAAGCACCTTCCCGAACCCTCATTGGCAGTCCTTCTAGGGGTCTATAACTGTGTGGCAAACAGGCGCTTTCCCAAACAGCTGGAGGAAAGCCACAGTTATACTGATACCTAAACCGGGAAGAGACGGCTCTGACCCAGCTAACTATCGACTAATAGCACTAACAAGCTGCATCTGCAAAACCATGGAAAGAATGATTAACAATAGGCTGGTCTGGTACCTGGAGAGGAATAGAGTGATCTCCAACTACCAGTGCAGAATTTAACCCCACCCATTGACCAAATCTCTAAAATAGAAACCCCTCAGAATCCTCCTTGGCTAATGAATAAACCCAAATTAAATTTATCCCTCCTTAATTTCAAAAAAGAAAATACAGACCCAAGCATACTACAAGTCCTTTTCAGGAAACTGCAGGAGAGCTACGGAGATTGTGGCACCAACTACACAGACGGATCCAAAATGGATGGAAAGGTTGCGTGTGCCTGCTCCTTTCAGAACAAAACAATCTCCCGTAGACTCCCCGATGGCTGCTCCATCTTTACACCGAATAGCATGCAATATCGCTTGCACTTATGTCCATTAAAGCATCAGAAAGGAGGAAATTTATTACCTGCTCCGACTTTGGGGCGGAGGAAGACTGACATCCCATTGGTACATAAGAGCCTGAAGCTGTTGGACCAAATAACAGCCGACCATAGGGATGTCACCTTCATCTGGGTCCCCTCCCATGTTGGCATTGAGGGAAACAAAGCAGCAGACAGAGAAGCAAAGAGAGCCCTAAAATCATGCGGTGTCAGGAACCCAAATTCCCTGCTCGAACCTGAGACAAAGTATTGCCTCTGCCACCTATCAAGAGTGGCAGAACCGATGGGAGGCTGAGACTCACAATAAACTCAGGCAGATTGTGGCGGATGTCAGGTGGCGGCCCACATCTAAGGGTCTGACAAGGAGTGGTAGCACGATCATGTCCAGACTTAGGATTGGCCACACTTACATCATGCACTCTTTTGTGCTGAAGAGAGACGAGCCCCCACTTTGTGAGTACTGTGACTCTCGCCTCACCGTGGAACATATCCTCGTTGATTGCTTCAGATACCAGGATGTCAGGCAGAAATATTTTAGAGCCACTAACTTAAAAACACTATTTGATAATGTCGACCCTGGGAAGGTACTGGGCTTTATCCGGAAAGTGGGGTTGTCTACGAAGATCTGATTTATGATTTTGTGAACATGTACTATTTGCATTAGATTTTTACCAAATAATTAAATTTTTACCACCTTTACTATTTTAACTGTGAATAGACCATGATTTTAATGATATGACTGTATAGAATTTGGCCCTTGTTGTTTAGAGAGAGAGTAGTCCTTAAAGGACTGCAGGCACGACATGGCCTAAATTGTGTTGATGTGCCTAAAATCAAAACCAAACCAAACCTTAATATAAATTCAGTGTCTTTAGAGTGAACATTAGCTGTCTGAAAATCAATATAAAAAAGATTTCAAAGATTGATTAAGTAAAAAAAGTTTCTACATTTTAAATCATGTGGTCAATATAAAACAAAACATTTCCAGTGTATGGGACATAGTTCAGTGGCTATAACTAATTCAGGGGACATAGCTCAGTGGCTATAACTAATTCAGGGGACATAGTTCAGTGGCTATAACTAATTCAGGGGACATAGCTGAGTGGCTTTAACTAATTCAGAAAAGTATTATTTTTCATTCTTACAATCTTCTTTCCAGACAGTACAGTGTGGGCTTTGAAGTCATCTGTGTGAGTGAAAATGTGCCTAATGCTGTGGGTGCCTTTAAGAGAACCACTTCTGGTGATTTTAGACCTGGCTACTGTTTCCTACAAATGAACAATATTTCTGGTGGGGTTTACAATATCAGGCCTTGCACTTTTGCTGCTGGAAATGAGGGACCATTTTTTCTGGATATTAGCTGTTCAACATCTTATACAGTCAAACAGTTACAGTAGCAACACCAATAAGAACAACATTATTGCATACACAGTGTATACTCTACTAATGAGTTACTACATCATTCTGATGCATATCAGTGATACTAAGTGTAAATAGAATCTTTTAATGTTTTTTGCTTCTCATAATATAAACACAATTTGAGAGAAATGTATAATTCAATCAATAAACTTGATCTGATTTGTTACTTGAAAGTTGAATGTAATGGCATGAAATGATATGTTGTAATGAATATAATGCATGTACAATTTTGAATCAATTTTTCTATTTGCATTTTAAAAAATTAAGCTTTGTCATTAGAATCTGTATTTTTTTGAAGGAAATGGAAATATTTAAAAATATTTAAAAAAAATAAAATTTATGACACAAATTGTTAGAAATATATAGATGGAATGCATATCAGTTTTCATGTTGAACAATAACATACACAAATATAAAGTCAAGTAAGAGAGTACTTGTAGTTAAGGTATTAATGTATAAGAAATTTCCTAAGATTGAACAAAGTTAGTATTCTGAAAATGTTCTGCATCAGTGACACTGCTGTTTTTTTTGTGATAATGGTTATGTGAAGTGATGAAAGCTGAAATTTAGTCAAATCAAACTAATGCGCTCTGCACCATCATCTTGGTGGTTCCGGGTTTGAACCACGTCTTGGTCATCCACCGCTGTCCAATGGGAGGTTTGGTCTATTGGTCTAGGATGTAATGTCAATTTTGAGGGAACATCCAAAACATGTAAAACAAAAAAAAATGGATTACATTCTGTAGTATTACAATTAGTTTTAATTTCATTCTGAGTGTGCAATGTCATCAGAATAGCAATTAGCCAAATAAAAGACATCACTACAAGTTTTTAAAATTATTTTTCTATTTTTTTCTGAATAACAATAACCCTTATGAATATATAAATTATTTGAGGGAATAAAGTTTGTAATTGAAATGCTTTCCATCTTATTTGTTGACTAAATTCTTAGCTTGTGGGTGGTCCTCACATTGACATTTTTCTTGCATCAGCTAAAAATTTGCTCAGTCATGACATTGTCTTCTTCCCATGTTGTTTTCCATTATATTTTATTTTATTGACATTTGTGACTTTTATTTCCAGAAAAAGTTTTAGGCAAAAAGTTGCTTTGAAAATGTAATATTTTTTTCAGACTAAGTTTATTTACATCATTAATGTGTATGATAGATGAACTTAAAAGAATGCATTCTGTACATGTTCATGTATTTCTCTTCATGTAATTCTATTGAAGTGCAATGTTCAACTTTATTCATTCCATTTTTAACCTATTTTGCAATTTTCTTTTTGGATAGAAAATGCTACGTTAATCTATTGTTGAAATACAACAGTCCATATAATCAGTTATTAAGCAAAATTATTGTAGAAATATTTCTGAACATTTTGTAAAGAAGTTTCATTGAAATTATTTGTGCCATAGATATAAAAATATAAATTATTTTGAATTATGAATTACTAGATGTAGTAGGCATAATGTGAAGCCCATTGACATAAATAATAATCAGTGATGCCCAAATGATGGTGATGCCATATGACTCTCAAACATCCTTCTCAAAATGTGGAGTGGAGCTGCATAGGCCCCATCTTTATTTTTGTGGAAATGAAACTAGAAAGCTATTAATACGTAGGAAATATCCTTGGTTTGCAATAATGAGGTGATGCTCAAAGCTTTAGATTTGTATCTGTTTCAATTCAATTCATTTGATTTACCCCAGCACTTGATGAAGCTTTCATAAATATTTCCCAGTATTACTTTCTAGGTTGATACAAAATATTATTCAGCTTTTTCTTGAAACACTGTTTTCCTTTGTTATTTACTTTTATATAGCCATAACATACTTCTTGTTTATATAATGCATATATGTTTGTTTAGCTTTAGTCATACCAAAATATATGCTTTAAAATAATATTACAAAAAGTGCCTATATTTTAAAAAAACAAAAACATACCATATATCAAAAGAAAACTTTATAAAACAAAAGTTTTTTTTTTTTTTTTTTTTTTAAATTTTTCTTTTGTTGACTGTTGAATGTGCAGAGTTAGGGTTAGGGTTAGGGTATGTAACATGGTCTCTCATATATTCTGTTTATTTTGTTTTATCTTGCTTCACTGCTGTGTCTTAAATATTTCAAGTACTATTACTTTATGAAATTTCCTTGTGGGCTCAGAATGAAAAAATGTTGTTTTTGAACCGTTGCCCTAACCTCAATACGTCTGTTGTAAACTTTGATCTTATTGGTTTCATTATACTGTTGTGTTTGGTGGTGGCTAGACTTGTATTTGATTTCTCCATGCCGTGCGTCTGTGAGCGTGGGTATTCTACAACATCAACCATGGCTGGGAATGGGCATGAGTTAAGTCTAGTACATTTCTCTTATAGATGGGAGCATATTTTTGAATGCCTCCCGGTACCTGCCACAGGTTAGTGAAGTTTATCTCCCCTAATCTGCCTGTGAGGTAAAGTGTGTGGTTTCCAAACCGAGGAATCCTGATTCAAAACCAGGTGAAGAATGGGATTTTAAACATTGGGATTATTAGGACGCCCCTGAGTCTTACCTGAAATATGCTGAGGAAGTAAAGGCCATTTGTCATTGTGCTGGCCACATGACACCTTCGTTAACTGTCTGCCATAGAAACAGATGACCTCGAAACCATCTGTCCCCATGGTTGCAAGGTCTGAACGAGGTACCTCACATACCCTTTCTCAAGATGGTTTTGGAATCACTGATCATTTGTTTCTTTTTTTAAAATAATTAATCTCAAGTAAATGAATTAGTTTGTTATTGCTTGGTGTGGTCATAAGTGTCCATAATGTGTTGCCATGTATCTATATATAAGGTCTGAAAAAGGGGGGGGGGGACTTTTTACTTCATCTAAATATAAAATAAAGAACTGCTTAGTGAAGTTTAATATTTTGCACTGTGTCTTTGTACATTTTGTTGATTTCAAAACTGTATCCTTTGATCTCTATGTTGAATTAATCTCTTCATTGATTGACTAGACTATATTAAATAATTTATGGAATGCAATCACATTTTTGTTTCTTTATCTTTATTGTGCCGTAGTGTTGCATCCAATGCTTGTTGAGCCTGGCTTCACATCTAGCTGACGGAATACAAATGTCTTTTAAGTTTTCTTTATGTCTACACCATGATGGGCCTCCCAAGGGAGACAAACCTTTTTTCATCTGTCTAGAAATCTCTTGCAGTATTCTTGTCTGGACGTCTGAGTGACTCAACTGGGACAAAAAGATGAATTGAGCGAAACAAGAATGATGATTCTTTAAAACTTTTGTGAGTTGTTTCTGACAGTGAAGCAAAGAATGGAATGTTTTACCTTAAATTCTTAAACGTCTTGACCATATAATGTACATTAATTTTTTTTATTGCTAACAACTATAAAGAATTAAGCGAGCAACCACAACAAAAATCATTAATTTATATACATTTGTCTATACATCAAGTAATAACAAGGTAGCTTGTCCGACCAATAGGTTACTAAGTGCTAGTGCTTACTTCCCTTAACAAAGTTTTTGCAGTGGCTGCCCATTTCCATTTAGAACACTTATCTCAGAGGCTAGTTATTTGGCTTGACAAACAGTTTCTGTGCATATTTTACCACTTAAACCATGCGTTTCAATATCTAAAGTGAGCTATATTGTTGGTCTAGGCTTATAAGAAATCTTACAAACAATGTTTGGTCCTCTTCTGTTTTCAGTTACTAACCATCGTCTATTTAAAGCATTCCTTTAGACTTTCGACAGACCGGATTGCATACCACACGAGCAGTCATCTATAATCAGCATCCAAAATGAGAAGCTCAGCCAATCATTACTCTTTGACTCTTTGGCTACTGTACTCTTATGCCCCCAATCTTTTAGACGAGCCTTGCAGGCTGTACTCCCTTAATTTCCTCTGGAGGTTAGGGAAAGGATGCAATGGTCTTCATTTCTGAAAGTACGTCTTAAATTCACAAAGTTTATTTTAAGTGTCGAGCAATAAGCTTGGCCACGCCTCCACATGGCCACGGAACTAAGAAGAAGGGATGGCCCACGGTGCCGAGATTTGGAATCAGATGCTCAGCTAATTGGCAAGTCGCGGGACTGTGGTTATACTCGCCCAGAACTGAGAAGCCTGGAGGAAGCTTGTTGGTTGGTTGTGGCCCATGCCCAAGACAGGAAGCTGGTTGGTGGCCTATGCCCCAGACGGGAAACTGGTTGGTGGCCTATGCCCCAGACGGGACCACTGGCAGAGATGAGAATGATTGCATGTGTGTGTTTATAGGACGGTGAGAAGAAGTTAGCGATTGGCTGGTGGCTTATGCAGTGGGAATGATCTAAGCTAAGCGGGAATGATGCAAGCTAAGCGGCACTGTCGTTAGCGCTGTCTTGGGTACACCAGACGACTCTAGGATGCCAGAGTGAAATGACTTGTTTTTGTAGTGAGCTAGATTTTATTCAAAATATCAATTTATATTATTGCTAAAGTTTGCTACATTAATTTAATGTCATCTCAAGTTAAATGTATCTCTGCTGTAGTAAAAGCTATATTTAGTTTAGTTCATTAAGAAGTTATTTCAAGTTTTTGAAAGTTAAAATACAATACGCGCATTAGTTGTCTACCAGAAGGTTGGTGCTACAAGTTAACTACCGCCAACAAAACATTAAAACAAACAAAAAATGCTTTCATTATAGGCAACTTTAAGTATACAAAATAATAAATAAAATAGTTGGTTCAAACCGAGCATCTAACACTAACCCATGATTTGGACACTGTCAGCTGCTTGAACGATGTCACCAATTCGGACATCTAGATTTAACACTAGACCTAGACCTCTAATTTTGAACTCTTTAAGATCTAGTCTAGACCATTGAGCTTATTCTACCAATGCTAGTCACTTGGACAAAAGTAGATAGTAGATCTAATTCTGATCTGATGACTGCATTATAGCAACACTTAGCTGTTGGAAGGATAAATAAGATGTTTTTATTTTCAAATAATCAATATTGGGTTTCCAATGTTATCGGGCCTAGGGAAAGCGTTAACAGGAACAGGCAAGAATTTCAAGTGGACCCCATATATATTCAATATGTGTATATTCTGATGTCCATATCAATCAATAACTCCAAGCTACCATGCTTTTTCTACTTACCGTTGTTAAATTGTTGTCAGTCTTAACAAGATAAAAGCCCACATGACAGTTAATAAACCAGTGTTTCTCAAACTTTCACAAGTGAGCCCAGACCTAAACCGGAGCCATTGAGTTCACACTTCGAATTCCTTTAACCAGTTGAGTTTGGAAGGGTGCTGTAAGTTCGGAGTAAAGGGCGGAACCCCGACCCAAGTAAAGAGCAGAACCCCGACCCAAGTGTTTTCCTACATTCCGAGATTAAGAAATTCTTGCAGCGGGTCTGTTTTGTTTATGCAAAAGACGTCAACAGAATATAACGGTGCGTCACGTGTAAGAGACTCTTCTCACTCAAACGACACGAAACAATAAGATATCACTAAATGTAATAGTTTTGTTTATTTAACATTGGGGTCATAAAGTCATTTTTACTTTTTTTTTAATACTCAAATATTGAGCATTAAATACTGCTTTTAACTTCAATCCAAATACATTTCCCTAGAATAAAAACAAATAACACATCCAACATAACAACCCCTCCTTTTTTATTTCAGCACGGGTGCCCAATAGTTTGAGAAACGCTGCTTTAAACCTAATCATTGAAAATATCTATACAAACATAGATTTAGTTGTACTTTTAAAGTTCCCTTTATGTTTTGAAAACTAAATTGACGGGTACTTGCTGATATCAATGAATAAATATCAGACAATCCCCCCCCCCCCCCCACCTCCCTTTAACTTTTTTTTTTAACCTTCCATGAAGCACTTTCTCTTTCTGTCTGGCAGGAAGTTGGCTCTAAATCTTTTGTTTGTCTAGACACATAGGTCACCGTTCCAATTATCGTAGAGACCCGTAGATTAACCCGTACACTGACCTGAAACTTTCTTGTCCAGTTAATAGCACTGTTTAGATATCTCCCGTTAGTGGAATTGCACTTTCATCTGAGTCATTGCCAAGGTGCATAGCACAAGGTGCATAGCACAAGGTGCATAGCACAAGGTGCATAGCACAAGGTGCATAGCACAAGGTGCATAGCACAAGGTGCATAGCACAAGGCGCATAGCACAAGGCGCATAGCACAAGGCGCATAGCACAAGGTGCATAGCACAAGGCACATAGCACAAGGTACATAGCACAAGGGCGCATTCACTCTTCGAGGAAGTGTTTTCGTCATCTGTGTTTATTTTCTTTGAGATGGCACCATGTCAAACTACTGATTAGTCAATTGAGTCACTGTACTATACACTATACACTGTAGGTAGGAGTTTCAATAGGCGAAGAGCACCAACTTCATCACTATACACTGTAGGTAGGAGTTTCAATGGGGCGAACAGCACCCACTTCATCACTATACACTGCAGGTAGGAGTTTCAATGGGGCGAACAGCACCCACTTCATCACTATACACTGTAGGTAGGAGTTCCAATGGGGCGAACAGCACCCCTTCATCATTATACACTGTAGGTAGGAGTTTCACACATTCGAGACCCATCCTTAATCATCCTTAGTCTACGGAATCGAAGACATTGCATTGGTACGATATATATATATATATACACACCCGCACAAAATGGCCAATCTGTCCGAATTAACGCTAAGAAGGCTCTAATTCAACAGATGATAAATAATATCATATTAATGTATATAAAGCGAGTCTTCAAGTCTGAAGTATGTGCAGTATGTCAGGTGGCTACACAGTACTAGCTACTAGGATGATATGATCTACACATTTTGAAGAGTCCAGCGCAGATGTTGCTGTTGTCGATTAAGGTTTTCTTTTCTCTTTCAAGACCAGCTTGAGGTGCCAGCTTGCTTTAAATGACATAGAAAAGAGCACCTTGCAGCAGGCGACTTCCGAACAAGACAGCCGCTGGGTTCTTACCAAAGCCGCCGGAGTCATATTTGAGACCAAAAGGACATCAAAATTTACTAATATCTATTTTCTTAAACCTAATCAAAATTAGGTAGTCTATTAACGTCGCGTTCACATTCTGTCCTATCGGTTATAAATATAACTAAGATTCAAAAGTAGAATTACTATGTGGCATTCAATTTATTTCACAACTTCAAACTTTAATCTTTAAATCAGTAACCCACCTATTTCCGTATCACATTATATCTCACACTTGGTCAACGTGAAGTCTTGTAGAATGTTCTCACATAAATTAGTATAAGCCAAGCTCATGAGACAGTCAAACCCACAACAAATGGCTCGTAAATTGAAAACCACTTAGTCTCGGATTCTTTCCCTTTTCGGTTTTGCTCTCCGTGACCGATTTCTGGACGTTTAAAAAAAAGTTACGAAAAGACAACTCGTGTACTCCAAATCTATTTACAATGATCTGGGAAGATTTCCTACAATACACAGCTGTGCTTTAGTAGACTGAAAGCAGATTAGGGAGTTATCTGTTCCTGATTCCCTCCCTTTAAAAAAAACATCGCCTTCATTAGAATAATCTCAATTACAGTTGTGAATTGTTATGGTGTCGGATTGTGGCTTGAGTTAAAACAGAACATTGTATTGTCATTGTTTAGGTCAGGATACCGATGTAGGTCACCAGAATCTTGCTTCAGAAAGTATAAACTATCCTTTTCAGACCTTGCGATCTATGGGGCAGAAGATGTAAAGACCATCCGTTTCTTTGGCCGACGATTACCAAAGGTGTTCTATGGACAGCACTACAACTAACAGTCTTTATTTCCCCAACTCATGTGCGTACTTATTATGGGTGGACTAAAAATCTTGAAATTCTAAATCGCAGTCTTTGCGAGATTCAAACCGGAGGCCCGTCGGCTCGAAAGTCCTGCGCCCTACCATTCTGGCACCACGCCCCCACTCCATGTTTTAAAATTCAAACCAATTTTTGGTACAACTAGCTTTGGGATGTGAATATAAAAATG